TCTATCAAAGATCCATATACACACTTGTAAGGCCAATGATGGATAACGTCAAGGGAGGAGTAATCAAGCGAGGTAAGTCTTTCTTCAGACAACTTTTGTTCTTTTCTCTTTACATTATGACATAGGATCGTAAAAAATAGTCTTTCTTTCCGAGGATGATTTGTATTTTTGAATTTTCTTTAGATGACTACTGTACCGCAAATCGTCAGTCACTGGTGGTTCGACTGTTATGCTTCTGCATCGAACATCATTCGTTCTCCATGCGGCAGCATTGCATTTCGAACGATCTGCTCAACAAGGTGCTCGTTCTTCTGCAAAGCAAACACCATTTCTTAGCTTTGGGTACGTTCCTATTTTTTAATTCAAGGTAACAAAAGCACGCTATCAATTGTTAGTAAACCGGTAACTTCGAGTATTTTTGGCTCTTTGCGTTGTTCTTATCGATATTAGTCGGTGACGCAGAATCAGAAATCTGATCACGAAATTTCGTTTGGTCAGTGAGCCATTCCGGCCCTTGACTAAGCGGTCTATTCCCGCTGCGAAATTTCTGCTCGCGATGATCATTTATTTACTGTCCCATCTTTTAAGTTTCGAGTGTTTATGTTTATCTTTATTCATGTTTATCCCTCGGTTTTCCCGATTTCCATTCTTGCCTTGGATTGAGTTGTGAGTTATTTTGGTAAACACCTATAGTAAAGAACACGCGCTATAGTAAAAAGCTTGCACCGTCTTTTGTATAGGTATCCACGTGTTTTCCACGTATGCTAAGTGCTTCTTGAACGTTGCTGAATTTCACTGATTTTCTTATTTGTTATTTATTTATTTGCATGCTTCAGTGAGTGCACTTCCACCAGTGAAATAATTGTAGCATAATGCGCCTCACCGCTTTTGGCCACTTAGGCAATTTTTTCAGCAAGTATTTTTATTTTAAACTATTGTGATTTACTTCTTACTCTGCGAATGGGCTATTTTCGTATTATTTGCGGAACCATTTTATGCGTGGTATTGTAAAAAAAGGTCTTTTAATTGCATCACTTTATCATAGAACTGAAACGAAAAAGATGTCCTGGAATATTGGAGGTGTTATGCAGCCTACAATATTGAATTCGCTCCCCCAAATGATCCCATACATTTCAGCAGCGTTGAAAATGTTACGCACTGTGTTGGCGGTGAAGGACGATTTCTATAATCGGTACATCGTCAGGGAAAAGGTGCTGGATCGTGTTGTTGAGTGTTTTGTACGAAACGGAGCACGATACAATCTTTTAAATTCAGCAATGCTGGAGCTTTTCGATTATATACGATCGGTGAGTTGAGCCTTATTTCCTCCAAGATGCCTTAGAATTAAGGTCATTTCATACAGGAGGACATCAAGCCGTTGGTCAAGTACACAGTGGAAAACCACATGTCGTCGTTTGAAGACGTAACCTACGTGAAGTTGTTCTCCGAGCTGAAAATTCGCTATGAACAACAGCGTGATCGCGAAAATGCTGCCAAGATAACCGCTGACGAGAGAGTGCCAAGTCCAGCCGCCTTTGCTAAAGAGCGACAGGTATGTAGGGTCGCTCACATATGTATACTACAGAAATTTTCCTTAACGTGATTGGAAGGCACTGTGTTTGTGGGTCCTGGGTAGAAACTAGGTTTTCTATATTAAATCAAAATGACGTAATGTCCTTTTTGGTGCTGTAATTCACCGAGCTGATTATGCTGTACTGAAATTACAACTTGGGCATGTGCTAATCGTAGTACTCTTTATTTATTTTTATTGGTATTGTATTGGTAAACGCTTTAGGCATCAGATATGAAAGCATCAAATAGTGTGTCCAGACAGTAATATCTATTTTGATACGACAGGGACTTTTTATTAAAAATGCGAAATCTAAAAAAATGTTTGTTCAGCTAGTTGTCCTATGTTGGTTTATACAGCTTAATGTTGTGGCTGTTTCAGGAAGAACAATGGTTTGATGGCGAGGATGATGAGACAGTTGAATGCAAGAAAGAGCCGGTCGAAGTGAAAAAGGAGATCAAGAAGGAAATCGATTCACCTCGAAAGACTGGTATCGAGCCAATGTTCCCGTCAGTGCTGAAGCGGAAGAATGCGTTTGATGAGGACGACGGGGCAGTATTCAGTGGTCAGGTTGCACCGCTAACGCCGGTGAATATTATGACTGAGAAGAAGATAGTTATAAAAGTATGTAGTGGACGAATATGGCTAGTGCCTAGTTCATCTGATCCCTTTTCGAAAAATTTGTTGTAGGTTGGTGATCGGTCTCGGACTCCGTCACCATTAGGATCGCCTTCCCAGTTGACACCACCGCCGTCTCAAGCACGCGAAGATGAGGTCTCGTCTTCACAAAACAATAGCAAGGAGAATAGCCCAATGAGCATAAAGGTATGACAGTTGTGCTGAGTGCTCCGTTCACATTCTTTTTAGTGCTGCGACCCGCACTACCCCTAACTCTTGGTCAATTTCTTCCGATGTAATTGCGAAATGATTTTGAAATTCTATAGGGTAGGGTTTAGGTAATTATTCCGCAATAGGACATTTCGTCATGATTATCTAGAATCATTACAAACGCAACTCAGGAATGATTTCGACGGCCGCAATTTACTGCTGTCTATCATAGGTGGAAGTAGTCGTTGTTATTGCTAATGAACTTATTTCAGTCGCTGGTTGACTATGACGAGTCGGACTCGGACGAAGATGAGAGTACAGCGCCAAACGACTCAATACCTTCATCGTCTACAGGCAGCCCGGTGCAGATGAATTCGAGTGCTGAGAAAAGCACCGAGAGCACTACCGTGGCACCTACGTCGTCCTCTGGAGGCGACCTGTCATCTTGTGATGACGACGTATCGTCTACTAGCGGAGAAGAGGAGTTGGCAGGAGGTGGATGCGGATTGACGCGACGGAAACGACCGTCAAGTGGCGACATTGACGAAGATGTGGCTAAGAGAAGTCGAGCCTCACCGGAAACCTAATTTATTATGATCACAGTCCTAGGGACGACTGGTAGCGTTTGCATAGAAAGATTGTTACATCGAAAGCTGATTTCTCGATATATGTGATAAATGGATCTGATGTGACCCTCTTATGGGAAGTCCCCTCCTCCCCCATTATGTATATAAAATCAGCAGTTCGTCGTTATGCGCTCATGTTGTTGAGTTCTGCCATCTAGAATTGTTGGCCCGGTCAGTCGCGTTTTCTAAAAAGAGATTCCATTTTGAGCAACTTCTCCACCAAGAACTTTTGTATACTGTGATCTTTAGTACACTGGGTATGTTGTTGCAGCTGACACCAGATGACTGGGCTTATATCCGTTCCTTGATCATTTGTTTTGTATCTGCCCACTTTAGATCTATCTTTTTCTTGTTCGCTGTTCGGAATTTAATTTATGTATTGAAAGTTCTCATCTCGGTTCTCAACTTGTATTTAGGTGAGCAGACTGCTGGGGGTATTCCCTCCTATCCCTCGTTTTGTTTCAAAATGATTCCATTCCTGTCCGCCGTCTCATCCTAGCACCACCGCCCTTTCTTTTATGTTCTGTTGTTCTGTTCTGGAAAAAGCTGCGGGTCAGTGTTGTTCCTGCTTCTCTTTCTTGACGAACGAATCTAAATGTTAGCGACTTTACTGATTGTCGCTGCGCAATGTGCTGTCTTTTAATTAGCGATGTCGTATATAATAAGCATTTATATATTAGTTTTGACTGTTCTTTTTCCGTCTCTCATTTGTGGTACAAATTTGGTGTTACCACGTATCTCGTTGGGAACAACAATAAAACTATTTATAAAGTTAACTTTTACGACACATTCCAAAAGAGAGCCAGTAAAGCTCTCAATTCTTCCGACGTCGATCAATTGGTACCACACATGTCTAGAAGGATGTAGGCACTGATAATACATCAGCTGGCCACCGCAGGTCATTACTGGCCATATGGGCGCCCGAAAGTCACTACAGTTATGATCTGAAGTGGAATGCGGGACTTACCCCTTGGTTGATCCAGGCCAAAAGGTTTCATCGTTTGTCCCATTTATCGACCAACAATAAGCCACAACTCTGTAGAAAACCGGAAATTCGATCTGACTTGTCAGTTTTGTGCAGAGTAAGGGAACTGAAGTGAAGTGATTCATGTGAAAGTAATTCCTCCGATTGGGCTGAGCCAAATACACGACACCATCTGTTCACCTTCCCACACCCGTGAAGCACACTCGCGAAGGAAACATAAAGGAAACTGAAATGGACCCGGAACGTAATCACTTCTGTTTCCTCGATTGCATCTTAGTAGTTAGCGCAGTGTGCGTCTTGGGTGGGGGAACCATCGGCAAGCACGGTACGATTACGAGTCGAGGCTCTTCATCTCTTTTCATGACGAAGATTGCAGCATATCGAACCGCATGGGGAACGAGCTGGACTGACTCATGGATTGACCATTTCCTCTTCTTACTAGCCCATCAACTGCTGAACGTTCCTGAGCAGCTTTATGGCTTTAAAACTTTCTTTTCACTTTTGTACCTCCCATAGCTCTCCCACAATTAGAATGATCAGGCTTTAGCTTAACTGAGCATAAGAACATGGTCGTAAACATTCGAAATGGGAGAAATGCTCAGTAAAAACTTTTATGCGCTGGTTCTCATGACTTCTCTCAAGATGGCTAGTTTCTGAATCTTAATATGGAGCAGAGTCAAGATTCAGGCCTCAAATTGAACTTCAGTGGTCTACAACTCACTTCAGCTTTCCACTATAGACAATTAGTTTTTTCCCGAATTCGTTCCACTAATGTAGGCATATTGATAAGGGTTTCTGATAAAACGTCATTGGAAACCCGGTAGACTCTGCTGTGACAAGCCAGAGCAGCAGTTTCGATGATGCGCTATCGAAAGATAAGAAAAAAATCTGCATGCAGTTTTATTCGCAGATAGCAAGCTCTTATTTAATCTGCCATTAACTATAGCATGATTTATGGCCATTCTAGCCAGGCCCTCTGTACACCAGTGAGGGAACACAGTAATTCTTGAATGCTTTACTATTGTTAGTCGTTATCCCAGAATGCTCTAATATCTCAGATGTAATTGGGAAGCTTTCCCCAAGTTATATAGTTTTACTCTGTTGACATTCTGGCCGTGTACCTTTCGTCGGAGATTCATTTGTAGAATAATGATCTGGCAACTGTCCAGCAAGACCAAAATGTCAACGGAGCTGTGCCAACCTGGCTAAGGCACCCAATTACACATGTGATACCTATGCTCCATGCCGAAAATCACTGAATTTTTAACATGTCCTCTTCGAAAGCTCGATTAATTCTCTGTTATTTATTTTCCACTTGCATTGGGCTCATGCATGAACATGACCCCGCGAATATCATTTATTTTCGGTACAGTAAATGATGCAAATGCTCAGACATACTCTTCTTGCGGTCTTCATTGGATTCGCCTCAGCAAATAGTGAGTTTTATTATTTTTCAAGAGGATTTTGACGGCCACACCAAACAAAAAACATTCAGAGCTAAACAAACAAATCGGTTCTGCAGCTTATTCAGCAGCAAATTCTTGACGTAGATGGATCACTCACTAATAAACAGGGATTACGAAAAAGCTTGAGCTTTGCAAGTTGATAATCCATAATTGGTTGGGTCTTCTGTTTCTAGTCTACCTTGCATCCAGAAGGGAATCCCTTACCAAAGGTATCGACTGACTGGTTACATACTCTCGATACTTATCGAAGATTTGCATTCCTTTTCACCGCATTTCTTCGCCGGATGATTACCGTTAAAGGGGGAACGTCCGTTGCGCGCGTCCGTTGGAAGCAGGTCGCCCCGCCCACTTCGCGCGCGGCGTACCCTACTGAGGTCTCGAGATGACGTTACAGTACTACAAAGCGCTAGTGGAGCGAATGATTTGCATTTGTCCGTGCTATCTTCCCTTTGGCTAACTGCCGTGGATCAAGCGCAAATCGTATGTCGGTCGCCTTCTTCACGAATGCAGTAATCGGAATTTTCTCGTTCCTGATGGACCCGGGAACTCAATGAGAATATCCATGCTCTAGATACGTGGCTTCGCAGAATTATTCATAACAAATACCGTCATGGAAAATGTTACACAATGGGAAAAAAACCATCGCAATGGCTCAAAAGGAAGCTCATGCGCACTTCACATCCGGTTTCAGTGAAAGAGGATTAAGATGACTTGGCTCGTCTCGTCAATGGAACTTTTCCTACCGATTTGAAAAAAAATATTGTAAAAAAATATTGTTCACTGAAGGGCGCTTGCCCAAAACGGAGCGCTCCAACGGCAACTAGCCAGGAAGGTGCACTGTGAATTGTTGCCGCAGCCATAGGTATATATGGCTACTGGTGAGAGTTTTGTGGCGGATTAACCTTCCCGAATGTCATTACAGTTCTTGACCCTAAATTTAGATATTGTTCATCACTATATCATTATTATTTTATTATTTACTTTGGAACGTTGATGCCAGCAGCATCGTGGCATTCAACCAAGCGAACAGTCCTTGTTTTGATGAGGTTTTCTTACAGTTTGTAACCAAGACAGTGGTTTTTGGCTTAATAGCCATGCAGAAGGTGTCACCGATTTTGCGTACGGAGGAGTGCCACTCAATAGCCGATACAACTGCTTTCAAGGGAGCTTGGCTACGCAAGTCGTCGATCAAGCTTTCAAGGTGAAAAGAAATCCGTCCACTGTAAAAAATCGTCTAAAAATCCGTAATCTCTCTGCCAATTCATAATTTTTATCCGTTCCTTCCAGGTCGCATTCAATGGCTCCGCACCATCAACGCCATCACTGGAAGCGCAGAAACCCGGCAAACGAACTAGTCAAGTCTTCTTATTGAAAAAAGTAATAGGTGAGTGAGAACAGTTCTATCATTACTTACACCGGAGTTGTGCATTCAACGTAGAATTGTGTTTTCGAGAGGGCGCATCAAGCTCGGTTCATGTAATGACCGTACAAGCCATTGAACAGACCATATACCCATTTCTTGCATGCGGGGCGCATTCTAAAATAGGATTGATTTACGCCAAAAGAATTTATACTTCTGTCCTTCACTCTCCGCTGTTCTCCGAGGTACTGGGCGGCAGCGCGAAATTCACGTAATCGGCCCACGTTATACTGGGAAAAAGGAGCAAGGTCAACGGCGGAGCAAAATACCGAATCCGCAGACAAATGGCCCTGGTTGGACTGCCGGTGCTGGTTTCCGCCAATGAGGTACCCATTTCCTGCATGTGCTCTATCACCTCATGCCAACCGCTTATTCTTAACCCATAGGATACATTCAGAACGATGAGAGGACCTTTGTCTCGTCTAGGGTTGTTCAAGACGACTTTGTCGATTACGGCATTTATCACTGGCTTTGTAATGAAGAAAGGCTGGTTGATCGGCTGCGCCGTCGACCGACCCTTCGTTTTCATTGATTTTGCGAAGCCTGAATTCGAGTGCTTTCCGAATCGAAGCTAAGGAGAAGCAAGATTGAGCAAATGGCTGAAAGTTTTAAAAACTAAAAGCAACAATGACTCTTAAATTATAAATAATGAAGGCTCGAATATGAAAAGTCTCATGCGTTGCCAGACTTACACCCAATCTAACAATAAGAGTTACGGCTAGTGCTGTATTCAACACAGTACAGGAAAAGCTTAAGTATAGTTGCATATAATTACTGTTCATTCAATTAATTAGTGCATGTACTTATTCGTATATCGGAATCTTGAATATGCAGAATAGGAGTAGCTATTGACTAGGTCAGATCTCGCCTAACAATTGAATTTTAAGAAAATCATGATGACTTCAATGAAATGAACTGTGTGGATCCGGCGCTCAGAGCTGGAGTTGCTGACGCTATTAATAAGGCCACCGACCATTCCTGTCAGGTAAGATCACCCCAGACTATATTAATCAAAGTTTGGAACCATCTTTTTTCGAAACATTATGGNCACTGTCACAGACATAGTCCAGAGATCGAATTTTAAAGTCATAGCCGTCTAGGCTAACCATACTTTCTATCCTATCGGGGCAGTTGATTGTGAGTGCAGAACTACGTTTTGGGAAGCCCTAAAACATTCCTTTAGATCACTGACATCCGTCCATCCTGCAACTCAGAGTGAAGAGAGCACTTCCCGCTCCCAAAAAAACTTCACCTTCGAGAAAACTCATTGGAAATCCTACCTCAATGAAAAACTTTACCTAATTTTAGGCGATTGTCAAGGCAATCCTTTTCAATATTAACCTTCCACAATGGGCAGTAAATTGCATCGATTTCAATAAATCTCGCAGTTCCGATGTCATTTCGGTGGGTTATTTTGGCGATACATTTTTTCGAACATTGCAAACAAGCAACATGAAAGCGATTATTATGATCAGTGCAGAAAATAAGCGAAAGTGAGTTGGGGAGGCGGATCAGTGGTTTTTAATGACTCCGATGGCAGCTTAGTAAAATCAAGCAGTATAGTATTATGTTTAGTATGTGCGGACGTCACTGCAATAAAAACACAGAAAAATGATAAGTCTTCATCCAATAGGAACTCAACCTACCTCTTGCCCTCAACGATGTTCGAGGAAGATGTGCGGGCCAATCTTTTGTTGGTCCTGCTTGACTCTCCATATCAACTATGGGCATCCACGGCACTAGAAACGTCAATCTGACTGTGGGAGCGACCGAAGGATTGAACTTCGAAGTGACCGACCAAACTCCCTCTTCATCCATCTCACAAATGGTATGTACTGGGCTAGGGTGTGGTATTCTGGCCCGACGAAAACTGAAAAAAATAGCAGGTCAGCAAGGGTATTTCACATTGTCTTAGCTATTTTATCTGCAGTTGGAACCTCTGAACATGAAGATGATGACTAACCGGTCAAATCAATGTTGCTAGCCTTCTCTTTGTAAAAATGTGGCAAATCTCGAATGTCCTACCTCATTCGTGACGGGGCTAACACTATGTATTATACTGTACCAATTACTGCGCACCTTCGCAATTTATTTTCAATCTTCAATGGCCTGCCTTCTACACATGATCATTAAATATATGGATATATGTAAGCCAAGGAGCACGTTACCTGATGCGGAATACACTATTTACCAAGCCATCCATGTCCGGAAGAGCAGTTTGATTCAATACATCTAAGTAGAAGCTCTAAAATGACGTTTACGGGAAGCACTGCCTGTCAGTACTGCTTTGTGGCCTGTCGGAGGAGTAAGGTTTTTGGTATTGTTCAAACCCTTGGTCGGATCTCGTTCAAGTTCCCATCATAGTTAGGTTTCTAATGTGTCGGGCCTAACTAAAGACCTGCGATATCGCCACCGGACGATCAAGTCAATTCTTTCATCCCTCCATACGAGTCTGGCGCCATTCGGACGTCCCCAGAGGGATGTAAAGCTTCTTTCCCTGTGCAGGCATCGGTCGGGATTTCCATCTGCCGACCATGCATGAGACTGTGTGCACCAAGTGCCACTATACCACCTGCGCACAAGTGGCCCTCACATTACACTCCCACCCCACTATGCTGCATCGCCATTTTTTATTTTTGTCCTAATTCATATTGACAATGAATTTGATGACCTTTTAGGTAACGAAAAACTATTTTTACACGGCAGGTGTCGATTCAATGAAAGACCGTTTTCAGGATTATAACTTCTGCCAATATCAAGCAAACCTCGGCGAAGGTATGTATGTAGTAATACGGATGGCAAAAATTGATATGTCATAAATTATCACCATAATAAATTGTTTATATATAAAGTTGTTATTAACAGAAAACCACCACGAGCAATATTATTGTGGTGTTTCGGTAAAATGGAAGCATTCAAAGGGCCCCAGAAGCTCTTTTCGATGTGCATTTTCGGTAGCACATGTGAAGGGTGAAGCCGTGGTGGGTCATCAAATCCCGTCTGAAGGAGGACCCCGCATTTGACTTTCCTTCAGAATCGCAGTGGCGTATTGAATGGTGACGTGGCCTATGTAATGAATTGCAGAGGCCGGCTGGCATACAAGTCAGGGCTTTTTTTCCTCCCGAAGAAGTCAGCTACCAACTAACCGACCGCGGAGGTAGGGAAGGTTTGGTTGGTCTTGGTGGATATCGATGATATTCCGGTTCTTACCATCTACTACACCACCTCCTCGCGGCAGCACAGGTACGCTGCGAACGATTCTTCAACAACGCCAATATATTATAGAATCGTTCCTAGGAGTGGTGAGCTGCTGATGATCAGTTTGAATAGCCATTTTCGGAGATTTGCATTAGGTTTAACTCGATTTTACATCGCCTCGCCTGCTTACCTTCCATTCAGAATCATTGTTTTGAATGCAGATTATATGACATTGCGTGGCATTCACCTGATTCTCAAGTTCATGTTTTTTTCCTTTCCCACGAATTTTATTCTGAAAATGGTATGGAAGACCCGATCGTTCTGGGCGGGTACCGATCAGGGAAACCTGGACGAGTGAGTAGGACAGGACAGGACAGGACGATTCACCACTATTTTCTGTATGATCTATTCATTCTGCTTACATTCATTCGTCACAGAGGCAATTTGTTCCAAAGCTGGAAATTTTGAGGCTGTGGAGCCATGCTTATGGCTGGTTCTAACCACAGAAGAACTGAAGGGTTGAGATATAGATATACCGATCAAGCGATCTGACTATAACCCATTGCAACTACCAAGCATTTAGGATAGGAGCTCTATGACCATTACTTTTCGGAGATGTTGACTCCCTGAAACAGGTTCGCATCTTCTAACTTACCATATCTTTACATCTGTATCCTCGTCAGTCAGGCTCCCTCGTAATCGCTATCGGGCTCGAAATCGGAATCATAGAACCAGAAACATGAACAGCCCTGATGCTGTTCACCTAATCTGTACATTGTAGCCTTTCAAGTAGAAGGATTGAGCCGTCTTTTGCATATCAGCCAATAAATGTTGACGTGGACTTTTACGATTTCTGAACTATGCTCGAACGTGCATACACTCTACGGGGGCAAACAATTTAGAATTCCGTCAAGCAAAAAATGGCAAAGTGTCAGAAGGTCCGAGTCACATTTGTGTAGATTGCAAGGGTAAAACATCATCTAGAACTGCTTTGCGTTTCTCTAACTCTTTAATTCTTATCGAATTCGGGAAAAACCTACGGATGAAGCATCGCTTCGACGGGACCGAAAGGGTCGCTGCTAGTGAACACGCCCATCCTCACTCAAGGTGATCAAGCATTTGAATATTCGAATCCTAACATTAAAGACTAAAAGGTCTTCTGGAGTTGATCAACCCTGTTCGAAGGATGCGCCTCGCATTCGCTTCCAATTTAGAATCCTATGGCTTGTTGAATGCTTATGTGTCCTATACGACGCCTTGCGGTGGGTAGCCGATGTACACGTCAGTGGTTTAATCCTCCCAGACGGGTGTGGTACCAATGAACTGATTCTAAAAGAATGGAAGGCTTGATTGGTGTGAGTGTATATCGAGCTGAGATTCGAACCCCGTGACCATGCGTGTACGATAATGAACACTTGCCACTACACCACAACCGTGCACGACGTCATACATTAGTTGCCATTTTCTAGAACAAACAAGGTACACAAAAACAGGTCACGGCGTGCGGTGTGTTATTGCACAGGAACACGGAACAAAGCTTGGGAATATGCATCAGCTTGTACAGCTTGTGCCCTACATGACGGCAGTATCTTAGCCTACTTGAAATGACCGGTAGAAAAGCGCAATAGAAACTATGGTCTCTAAAACTTTGCTGCCAGTACTGGAGAAAAATCGGCCCAGAAGAATGGAAGACAAGTCCCTTTGGTATCAATCGATTCCCGTTCGGGGTCTGCTCCCTTATTCGACTACCATTCTGATTTTTAGGGTTGTTTAAATGATCTATAGACTGAAGCGGTTGCGGTCCAGTACACAAGTCAGCTCGTTTTGGAAATGAAATGAAGGCCAAGACAATGTTGTTCAAATCAGTGATGAAGTGCACTTCTCAGCTTCTACCATGTTGCTGTTCCTTTAGGTTATGCTGCAGCAAATACTTGTTAAGTAATCATCGCACATATGCATCACTCAATGAGAAGCCATCTACAAGGTACCTAGACCAGTTCCTCTCTCTATGTCATGGTCGTAGAACCTCTTCTCCTGTTCAGCTAAAACGAAAGCTCTTCAAAGCCTAAGAGGGTTCAAAGAAGCAGAAGGCAATCAAAGGCGTGTCTTCTGCTTGTAGCGATGTAGGTTATACTGTGATACGTTTGTGCATGAAAGTTGAAGTCACGTAGCTAGAGGGTTCCGTTAAAAGGTAAAGGGATATCTATATAGAGCGGAAGCGGGGACACTGTGTCTTACTTTTCCGAGAGCATGCCTACGTTGTTGGCTCAGCCACTGAACGTTGCCAAAGCGAAGTGTCGGTGAAATAAGAAAGTTGGCTGGAGAATCGTCAGACAGCTTACGTTCCAACCGAACATGCTGCCATAGATTGTTGAAGGCTCTTTTTCACAGTGGGTAAGAAAAACAGCCATGCGACACGATTCCACTCGAATGAATCCTCAAAAGCCGCCTCATTCAAGGTCGGTAATGTTGCGGATACGGTTCTTACGTAGGCGATCTATCTATAGGTTTTCCAGAAAGGTTCCAAAGAAACAAGTCATTCTCCGATAGATCACTGCTATGGGTTGTAATCCACTTGAGTTGAAGCACGAAGGAAGTGATAAATGGAAGGAGCTTGTGTCAGATATGGTTCTACCAAGGATGATTTGTAGGATCTGACAATTCAGCAAAGTCTGTGCTGTGATGGAATAACGAAGAGTCGACTGTTGCAATTATAACCATTTTTAACTAAAGTGAGGCGAGTCAAAATCGCCGCCACCTCGCGCACCGCCCAGGGATCAAAGTCCGGATCAAGACTCGTCCGGATTGACAGAGTCTTCCATCCGCCAGAGAAGAATAATTGGAGCTAGACCCGTCATAGAGATCGAAAGACCGAATTGTGCGCCTTCTCTTTTCCTAAGCCATTCTTCAGGGCAAATCTTGATTCAGACGATGCTGTAATTCTGAAATGAGGTATAACCAGTTACCGAATGCTTATTTTTATCTTTCAGACAAACCAAACATCTTCTAGAGAACATTCCAAGCTCATCGATGCTACCTACTACGAAGAAACTACTACAAAGTTTTCTTCAGCTAACAACACCCATTTTGACCCAGAACAAGGTCCCTATTCGCTTTTTGTTGGCGCAAATAGTTTTCTCTCGATTTCTCGTGAGCTCGGTCGTATCCACTTCTTCAACCATACTTATTTCTGAAACTGGCTACGGGGCTGAGGCTCAAGCCCTGTGCTCACTGCGGCATTTGGTCTTTCTGAATCAGTTTTCTAATCTCTGCTTGAATTTAGCTCTTGAACTAGCTTAAATCAACAATTCAACGATTTTTGAGCTTTTGTACAAGCCAGTCGTATCGTTCCTTTGGCTTCAATGGCTAATTCACTCAAACGACACCGTCGCAGCGTCGACATAAGTTGAACACTCAGTAGTCGCCACAAATGTGAGAACGAAGCGAACAGGCCTGAGGCGGGCTGACTGGGTGGGGGGAGGGGATGCGATACGACATCGGTGACGTTCACATCTTCATTCATACCACACCGCTACGCTCGTTCCGGAGTGGATTAGTTCGTACTCGATCCCCCATCTCCAAACGCTTCGCCTATTGCTATGCTACTCGCTAAAAAATTTTTAGCAAAGGGTCCCTTTGAAATTTTACGATTCTTTGGTATAAACTGTTCTAGAAATTTCTGATCGCTGGCTGGTTCAGTAAAAGCTGTACTGACTTCCTTCTGACTTGACCTGCATACCAAAGCTTATCAGTACCATCCCTGGAACGGTTTTCTTAGCGGCTCCACAACGTAGTTGCTCGGCAATTCCATAATACTGAAAGAGGGTCCTCTAGGCACAACATTCGGCTTTAGTTACTAAAGCCTTCTTTTAACCCGACGTACTCGCATATACTCCTTCCACCTGACCTATCCTTTTGATGCTTCTCAGCTGATCAACCTTTCAGTGGAGGTAGTATCCAAACCACTTCGTACCTCTAACAGCCCATTTTTTGGTACATTCAGAAAAGTCAGAATATGAAACAGTCCGAACAATCCGACGGAGGGTATTTGTTTCCCGGCCCGTTCTTGCAATCATAACCTCAGAGGACCTCAAATGAAAGTGAAAAATTCGGAACCATCATGGAAATGCGCCAATTCTACGGGTAGGAAACACGACGATTATGGTCGTTTATGACAGATAAAATGGTTAGGGGCGGCAGGTCCAGCTGACGTCAAAGCCTGTCCTATCTTCACATTTTCAGTTCCTAGGCTTGCTGCGGTCCGAATGGGTGATTGCTTGGTTTGGTTGGTCTCGTTCTGCTGGACGAACATATAATTGTGCACCCCTAGCTATTTAACCATTTCTACTTTGATTAGTCCATACTTGATGACCCTTCAGATTGATACTCGAGTTTCCTCTATTCGAAGAGTATTCCGTAATAGGCAATTTGCGAAGTTCTCAAAGTAGCATACGGTGATGAACACGTGGAGTAAATAATGGAGGATTAAGTTTCCAGCGTTGATCAAACCATTTTGGGATTCGCCTCTCACTCAAATTCAATTCAGAATCGTAGTGATCTTTTGAAAACGTATTATGTCTGCACCATGACTTGGGCTGACCAGCACTTCAGCGCTTTTCCTTTCCCAAATGAGTGCGGTACCGATTGACTGACGCCAGATGAATGAAAGCTTGGTTGGCCTCACTGGGTTCATTCATTCAATCATTCACTTCTGCTTGATATGACTGCATCAGTACAGCGTTTCTTTGACATTTCGTTGTGCTTGTTTACAGACAATTGGGTTTTTGACCTCAAAATTGCTACTTGGAGGAGGTCATACTATATTGTAGGTAACTTTCATAGTAATATAAGCAGGTTTATGGTCGAATCGCAAAATAAAGCACTTACTGCAGTTAACCTGTGAAATGCTAAAAATTAGGAAACATTGTTGCTGCTGCAGGAAAAGGCAAGTGTAGTTTCAATCGCTGAACTTCCCACGACCTTTGAAGCTTCGCACAATCAGAGCTGTGAGGCTAGGATCATCTTTCAATTCCATATTCCCCAAGTCAGTACCTTCACCCTTCCAGACGGATCTAGTATCAAATGACTGACCATGAAGGGCTTGGGTGCCTTAGGAAGCATTGAACACGGATCCAATCCCCTGAACGTGTATATGGCAATGAGCCACTTCCACTTTCTCTGTATTATTATGTGACTTTATCATTTTAGCAAATCACTTTAGTTATAAATCCTGCATGGAAACATGATATACCAGAGTTGCAGTTTCTTCGGAAATCCGAACAAAAGACTCCTCTGTTCCGCCCATCCATTTGTGTGTTCTAGGCGCAGGAAATCAACTTGGGCTACGAATTTGTACTACAGGCAATGGTCATGAAAGCGCAATCACGCTTTTCTTGACTATTTCCCATCAAAGCAATGCGGGGCCGTAAATCATGTCTGGCTTCAACTGGATGTTTTCGAAGATATCTCAGAAATGTTTTGTCTAATTAGAGGGAGAGAAGCAGATCTTGTTTCTAAAGCGTTGAAGCGCGACGATTTCTATCTGTAGAGCGCTCCGCATACATAATCAAGATATATCCTGTCACATTTCTCAATCTCTTCTTTCCTTTACTCTCTGACGATTCGACACTTCGCTTTTTTCTCTATCGGGATGCATGTGCAGAACATGGTCAAGGTGCTTCTAGGGAGCGAATACCTTCTTTAGTTAAACACCACCTTTTCCATAAATATGTCACCTCNTTTTTTTAGTTTACCCATTTAATATTGGAGCACAGTACCAGAATACCGTAGTACCGCCGTAGGCAGCATATGATGCTCCCAAAAATATTCCAGTTGCAAGACTTGTAGAATCACATCACTGAATCTGCCAACGAGGGACGCAGTAGTAAGCACCAGCTGTTTTACTTTATTAGCTTATTTCATTACTATACTTACTTTATTAGTTTTTTATTTTATTACTTAGAAGGTTTCTTAGAATGATGGATCTTCCGACATATGAGGCTCTTCGTTCCTATGAAGCTATTCCCCATGTCGAATTAGCGGATAGCGGATTAGCTTTCGATAAGATCGCAGAGCTGGTTGAATTGAACGTAAAAGTTTCTTATTCTTATATATGACGGTAAATATCAATTTTCATTTTGGGGTTGGGGTTCAATGCTGCAGACGTTTTGACTTGATGTTTGTTTACTGCTGTTATTTCGCTGGGTTAGATTCCCGTACGAGGCCAAAGTTTTGTCCACAATTCGCGAACCTCGTGGGACTTCCGGATCGCTACTGCATTATTGCCTGTGCTGTGGGTTTTATTACTTTGACTTCATATAAAGGTCATTAGCCTCGTAGCAATGTTTAGATTTATTTTTGCCCAGTTTTGCAGAATATTAAGTCTGCTTTTTTCGAATTTAGAGAAAATCCAAAAAAATGAACTGCATTTCTACTGAAGGGGTTTTGTATAGGCCTGCATAGTTGTTGTCTCGTTTCATCTCTTTCGGATTTCACTTTAAAACGGATTTTATAAAAGCTCTATCTGCAGATGGCACGAGCTGTAGCCGTTCTTGTTCTGGGCCTAGTCGTCTCCTGCAACGCTGCCGACAACTGCTACATAAATGACAGCGGTAAGGATTGCTTCACTAGGGTTTGGGCTATGTAGAGCACTGACTCCATCAGGACCGTTCCCTGGGTGAAAGTGGATATCGATTCGGAAAAAATCGAACTCGGATGGAAAAGTGAAAGTGATACATAAGTGTTAATGAAGTCAATCTGTCCCTAAATAAGAAAACGGATTTTCAAGGAACTCCCACCCGACTTTCTACAATAAATGCGACTGCTTACATAGTTGATTTGACAAGGCGCGTCCTTTCGTAGCGGAGAGGCAATGCGAGAACGGACAGATTCGTGATTGCCTTTATAACACTGGTGGGATCCTATCTATTAGTCGGTTTCATGCAGAACAGCTAACTTAGTCTCTGGGCCACTCAAGCTCCTCCTTATAGTAAATTGCCATCACTGCATTCTACCCTTGGTACCTTTTCCTCTAAACCAATTGTTATATATATAGCATCCAATCTCCTGAATCTTTAAAATTTCCGAGCGCCTCCTTTCTGAGAAACCATCGAACTTCTGGACAACAACGACATATTTCTCACAGACATATTTTTTTCTATTGATTTCTAAGGCAGTAGTCGAAATATTGGTGTACCCGTGTGGTAATTGAGTGGAGTTGTTGGCGAAGAATGAAGACGTATACCCGGTCCTATAATGTTCCCCTCCACTTATTCCATTACCTCAATTGCGCTTCATAATCTATCGCTCCCCTCCGATGATTCGTCACACTGCGCATTTCTTTGTAGGCAAACAAAAACGAAAGTACATGCATGAATGGGGCCCAATAATAGCAGACACGGTTTGCTTTTTGAGCAAAACCTTCAGAAAAATATACGTTGATGTCAAGGGTGGTCAAATGTGAAAAGGAGATGAGAGATTCTTTATTAGTAGATTCTTTTATTCCAATTTGGGAATAGCGTGTTGTTGATAATCTACACAGGTAAGTGATGGGTGGAGATTGGTGGTACACCCCTTCCACAGTTTACTCTTTTCCCCGTCATTCGTTCACCTAACTATGATAGTTATAATTTCGACTATTAAGAAGAGACAGAGACAACATTAGAAGGAATCCCTCCTGCCTTAATCATAACCTCCGCCAGGTTGTAGCTGGAATGGTGAAGAGGCGGCTCAAGGAACTCTGTATCCCGTCAACTTCATATTTAGGGCAATAACAAAAGTTTAGAAGTAACTGTAATAACTAGTTTTTGTGCAGCTTTTTTATTTTTTTTTAAACAATTTTTCTGACCGTAGTGGGTCAGCGAAGTTCTTTAACATATGTTCATACTTATGTTCTGAAAGGGTGAACCCGAACCATAACGAGGGAAGATTTTCGAGGTTATTTTTCCTTCACACATTCATGAACACCGAATCATGAATTCTCTTCTTTAGGTTTCACATGCTGTAACAAGCAATTGGAATCGGCTATGAAAGGAGCAATGGGAGGGAAGGTATGTTCTTTTAGGAAGAAGTGAACACATCGAAAGGTCATCTATACTCTAAGAGTTCGAGAAAATTGTGGTATCAAGAAATCCGATAGAATCTTGTATCCCTACCTTCTTAAGTTGACATCTGGCACCTAGCCTAATTTCGGCGCCACGGCGTGCTATAGAATTCAATCGGATATGAATTCAGTTATGTCGATAATTCGCTAATATAATTGGGAAATTTTCGAAAAAACTGCGGAGTCTCTAAGATCGTGAGCCAAACAGTTCGGGTCCAATTCGTTTGTTAGCAAGTGAAAAAGCCGGAACATTAAAAACTCAAATGTTGAAGGATGCCTAAACTCCGAAAACGCTAATTTCAATACATTTTCTTATCGGTATTGACTGTAAATGCTTTGTATTTGTCCATATCCCTTGAATTTTGCGATATCATGCTTAAGGTTGTGTATATCCCTATTGTGTCATGATCGATTCCATAGCACTGACCAATCCAAAGAATCGAGTTCAGGTCCAGTGTTCGTACATGTGAATCGATTCGTAGCCCAGCACCAGGTCCAACCGGGTAAAAAAGTTCCGAGTCATATCATAGTGACGATCATATGAGTTCTGATAGGGAACCCTCACAAACTGATGCCTCGGCATAGTCTAATGGCACCATATCGCAAAGGAATTCATCATGGTAGACCCTCCATGTTCCCCTCATATGAAATCATTCAGTTTCATGAACTCTGATCGCAGAGCATGAGCAAAATGAGCCGTTCAGAATTTCGTCTAAACCAGCAGCAACGGTNGACGATCATATGAGTTCTGATAGGGAACCCTCACAAACTGATGCCTCGGCATAGTCTAATGGCACCATATCGCAAAGGAATTCATCATGGTAGACCCTCCATGCTCCCCTCATATGAAATCATTCAGTTTCATGAACTCTGATCGCAGAGCATGAGCAAAATGAGCCGTTCAGAATTTCGTCTAAACCAGCAGCAACGGTAAATGGAAAGTTTCTGATTCAGGACTTGCTCTCGGCCGCCGATGAAATCCAAAAGATGGCTGAGACGACTCTGGGAGGCAAATTCGAGACGGTGGTCGCGTTGGACGATTTCGCTTACAAATCTCACTTCAAGGCGAGTTTTTGTGCTGTGACAGTAAGCTGGACGAGTGGGGAATCTTCGGCTTCCTACATCTATTTAAGTATAGGCATTTTATTGATTGATTGTGACCGTGCAAATTTCAAATCATTCCTTTGACCATTTTTGCAGAATTTCCGCGGTAGCATCATCCCATCTAGGACCGGTCTATGACCGCAGCAATCGCCGGCTTTTATTTCGTTCCTTCTTTCGCTAGTTATCCGTCTCGTTTTCTTCAAGGTCAAGAAGGAGTGCGAAGCGGCGATCATTTGCTTCAGTGAAACTGGAACTTGAAATAAGCCAACAATGCGAAGGTTGTGCGTGAGTAGGGCCTTGTAGGTAATCTGTGTGCATGGCCATTTCTGTCCGATCAATCAGCAGAAGAATTGAATAAGCCGATGTTGTAGATTCTACAACATCGGTTTATTCACTCATCACCTTCTTGTCAAGGAGGTGGTGTAGTAGCAAGCGGTGCACTATCGCACACACATGACCATGGATTCGATTCTCGGAACGATACCCACGTGAGCTAACCAGGCCTACCATATCCCTCTGAGATCAGATGATTGCTACTGACCTGAGGATAGAAGCACTAACTTGTACATCGGCTAGCCATCGAAAGTCATTCTATAGGCCACACACGCATTCAATACGCTACTAAAATTCTCACCGGATTGAGAATCCGGTAATATTGTCAGTAACTACAGCCTCACCATGCCTTCGAACGCATTACGATCTCATTGTCAGGAGAAATTAATTGTGTGAAGTATTTGATGAATGGGTGAACGTGGTGTAGTGTGAAGATGCGCACTATCGTACACACGGTCTTAAGATTGAATCCCGGATAGCTACCGGATCAGACCAACTGAGCCTTCTATCACTCCGACTTCGTTAACTAGTACCAATTTCGTCTGGGAGATGACAACCACAGACTTGATATTGCAGCCCATCACATTTCTTCTGTGGAGCCGCACGCACTCAAAACATCCCTGAGACTGAATGGATGTTGAATCCACAATCTCGAAAGAGGGCTCAAGGTTTTTGTGAAAGAGGATCCGCATAGAACCTGCTGTCTATTCCCAGTTATGCTAGTTCCTGAAACAGTTACTGCTTTCTATCAGAAGTAGCGGTCAATGCTAAACTAAAACGGTAGGCAGCTTCGGGGAGGGGGCTTTCGCGTCACCATTTGGCTTTGCAAAGTTTAATGCGTGGTCGAACCTGGGGGACATTCGCATTGTGCATGGTTGCGTAATCACCGGATCCGGCGGTCGTCCCATACATTCCGAAATCACGTAAGCGATTTTGAGACTGAAAAGCAACCAGTGGTTGCTTTCTTCTGATAGGTATAATCCTTATAGGAAAGAATTTGCAGTTGCCATGGAAGATTAAGGGACAGAGCCATGCTCACTCTT